CACTGGAAGCAACATCCTCCCGCCTGCTCCGCACGCATCCACAGGGGCCATGGGAACGCCATTTTAAAAAAATATATATATATTTGATTGATTTTAGAGAGGAAGGGAGAGGGAGATAGAAACATCAATGAGAGAATCACGGGTCGGCTGCCTCCTGCACGCCCCCAACTGGGGATCGAGCCCACAACCCAGGCATGTGCCCTTTGCTGGAATTGAACCTGGGACCCTTCAGTCCGCAGACAGACGCTCTATCCACTGAGCCAACCAGCTAGAGCTAGGAACGCCATTTTTTTTTTTTGATGAGTAAATCCAATCATATCACTCTCCTGCGTGAGCGCTTCAGCGACTCCCCGTTGACTTCCAGTATGAAGTTGGAGCACCTCACCTAGCACCCCAGGCCCCCGGGGCCTCGGCTCTGCTGCTCCTGCCAGACTCCTCCCTCTCAACAGCCCTCTTTCAGTGTTCCCGTGGGAATAGGCCCCAGTCCCCAGTCTAGGTTAGGCTTCCCTGAGGTCCTGCCCACCCCTGTGCCTGTCACACGGCGTTGTCATTGGATGTCTGAACACCTCCACGTTCACCGCCCCCCAAACTGTAAGCTTCAGGGGTGCAGGCACCCCGACTCGCCCGCCGCCATCTCCTCGGCACCGGGCACAGGTGCGCATCCCACAGCTGCTGGGTGGATGAACGAGCTGTGTGTGGGCTCCCCGTGGCTTTCTCCTGGTGTTTTGTGTGAATTGTTCATACAGTAAAGATCTTAGCACTGCCACTGGCCGGGCGTCGTGTCCCCAGGCTGCCTGCCTTTCACGCTGGCTGGTTTGGGGAGATGGGAGGAACACAGGGAAGCTTTAAATCCGGATGTAAGCAGATGTATTGATTTTTCTCTCGGGAACGCTTCGATCGCTTCTAAGTTTAGAAAGTCCGTCCTTCCCTGGATATCTGATGGGTGTCCACGTGTGTTCCTCGCGCCACTGTCAAGTTCATCCCCCCACTCAGGCTCTCCGGCTCGGAGTCGCCTTGGCCTTTAGCATAAAGTCCAGACTCATTCACTCGACCCCCGCCCCCCTCCCCAAGGCTTTCCGTGATTCCTCTTCCTCTCGGTCCCCACATTAGCTCGAGGGCCCGGGCAGTGGGTCTACTCTCTCTCTACGGGTCCTGCCCGCCCCCTCCACGCCTTTGCTGCTAAGGGCCCTCCGCATGGGAGGCCCAGCCTCCATGGCTTTTCTCTCTCTTCCTTTCTATCTATCTAAGTCGTGTTCTTCCTTCAAGCCCTCCTTTTTCCAAACAGCCCCACCTCACCCCTCCTCACGCCTCCTCCCGAGAGAGCCAATGCAGGAGGGGGAAGGGCGTGAGCGTTGGAGTCAGACAGCCTGGGTTAAAATCCTGAGGTTTCTGTTGCCATGTTATTTAGCCTTCCAAGTCTCCGTTCCCTCATCTTTTTGTGTTGTTTTTTTTTTAAATATATTTTTTATTGATTTCAGAGAGGAAGCAAGAGGGAGGGAGAGACAGAAACATCCATGATGAGAGAAAATCATGGATCTGCTGCCTCCTGCACACCCCCTACTGGGGATCAAGCCCACAACCTGGGCATGTGCCTTTGGCCGGGAATCAAACCTTGACCTCCTGGTTCACACAGGTTGATGCTCAACCCCTGAGCCATGCCAGCCGGGCTCAGAGTCCCCGCATCTTTAACTCGGGAACAGAAGGCAAAGAGGGACCGCAGTGGGTGGTTGCGAGGGTGAACTGAGTCTGGTATCAAATGCAGTAACCCAGCCTGGTCCCAGCCGCAGTCCCAGGGGTCTGTGGTGGGCGTGTCCTCCCCTCCCTCTCCCACCTCTGCCCCGGAGGATTGGCCGGCTCCGGAAGTCCATAGGTGGCTGCTTCCTGCTTGGGAGTTGGCTGAGACCACAGGCTCCACCCTAGGGGTCCGGCCCAGGCCGCAGGCACCTTGGTGGGACTCCCCCCCGCTATCGGGCCCCAGGCCTCTCCTCCCCCCGCTCTGCGTGGAGCACGAAGGGGTTTGTCACTGGGAGACAGTTCAGTCTCCATCAGCGCCCACGAATACGACGGGCCAAGTGTAGCAGGGGCGAGGCTCCCAGCCTTACCCCCCCCCCCTTCCTCCGGGGGCTGGGGAGGCCTGGCCGCGGGGGCGGCAGAGACGTGGCGCTCTGCCACCTCCTGGCTCTCGGGGCCTCCACCCTGTCGGAGGCATCAGCGCTGGCTGGCGGGAGCCCAGGCCTGTGAGCTCTCTGTGACCCCAGAGCACCGCACTGAGCGGGTCATTGGGAAGAGCAGGGATGACGGCAATTCGCTGGGGGCGGGTCCGAGAGGGGAAGCCTGGAGCAAGCTTATGATCAGGAGCTGCATCCCACCCCAGCTCTGCCCCGACCCCTCTACGCCCAGCTGCCCAATCTGTAAAAGAAAAGGGGGGTGGGGGGGGAAGCATAGAACAATCCTTACTGAGAGCTCAAGGTTCTAAAATGCCGTCCTGGGCTGGCCCTCCTGGAGCCCAGCCCAGCCCGGGCCTGACCTCACAGGGCGGCCCGATCCACTATCGGGACTGTTTGCCCCGCTCCGTCCTGTCCTTCCTCAGGGCCGGGGCCGACTCCAGCTGCCACCTCGCTGAGCCCAGCGGAGGGCGGTGCGGTGGTCAGGCCTGGGAAGGGGGGGTGGGGTGCAGTGGCCAGGCCTGGGAGGAGGGGCAGCGGGGTAGCCAGGCCTGGGGGAGGGGGGATAGTGCGGTGACAGGGGGGCGGGGTAGTGGCCAGGCCTGGGAGGGGAGTCTCCAGGCCCACGTTTGGCTTCTGGAGCCTCCTCCCCTCTCCCTGGAGCCGGCATTTGCCCTCCCCCCCCCCACCCCCGAAATCTGAGCTCAGGGACCCAGGAGGACTCTCCTCACAGAACATTCCATCCAGTTGTCCAAACACTGCACAGCTGGCGGAGGGAGGGGCCGCCGGCGCCCAGCCCTGGGCGGATGGAGTGGTGGAGACCTCAGGGGGAGGGGCCGCCCTGGCGCCCTGAGGGGTGCCCTGGCTCAGGGGCTCATCCGAGGCCCCTCCCGAGGCCCGGGGGAGGGGGAGAGGAAGGAGGGGGAGGGCAGGGCTGCTGGGCTGCGGGCGGAGGCTGAGCAGCCGGGGCAGGCAGCCCTGAGCCTCCCCTCGTGACTAGGCTTGGGGGGGGGGGGACAGGAGGGGGAGGCGCTGGGACAGCACCCCGAGGTGACGGGGCTGCAGCTCTGATTGGCAGGCAGTCTCAGCTGCCTCCAGCCTCCGGCTCCTCTGTGACGGGACAAGTCTCGGTGCCTCGGCTTCTCCACCTGCCCCAGGAAGCGGGGTGGCCTCTCGGGCTGGGGTTTGCCTAAGATGTCCCAGCTCCCCCCCCCCGACCCCTCACCCCCACCCCCCGATAAGCCCCGCCAGCGCCCACCTGCCCCAGTGGTGCCACGTGTCCAGAGAACAGCCACGCTTTTTACCCTACACACTTCCCAAAGCCACTCTGACTCTGTTTCCCCCACCCCCACCCCCACACACCCGTGGCTGGGACGTGGCAGGGAGGGCTCACTCACATAGCCCCTTCCCCTCCTGCCATGTTGGGGTGACGCCCCCCCCCCCCCCCACCGCCCTTCACACATCCTGTTTCCCATTAATGGTTTCCAGGTGGGCCCAGAGGTGGCCTGCAGAGGAAGGTGGGGGCACAGAAGAATTTCGCAGGGGATCAGCGAGGAGCAAAAACAGGAAGGGGGTGGGAGCAGGCCGCGGAAAATTCTCCGCCAGGAAAGGGAGGCCACATCTGGTTTGCATTAGGCTGAGAGCTGGGAGCCCAAGGCCGAGAGGGAGATACCGTTATCCACGGGCGGGCGGGGCGCCGGCAGCTCCTCCCAGCGGGAACTCGGAGGCGGACCGGAGAGAGAGGGAAGTGAAGGGACAGGAAAGGTCAGTCTCCACCTTGGCAGCCACTTCACAAATGCTACTTCCTGAGGTGTTCGCAGCGTCCCAGGGCAGAACTGTCCCCATTTTACAGATGAGGCAACTGAGTCCCAGAGAGGCTCAGTGACTGGCCCAGGGCCACACAAAGCCAGGGCGTGGCAGGACCAGGATTCGAATTCAGGCCGAATGGGCCCGGGGCGAAGCTAGCAGCTCCTGGGTGGATGAGGCTGCCGGGAGCCAGGGGAGGGGCCCCAGCAGCCTCGCTCGCCCTGGGGTGTCCGCCAGCACCCAGGGGCGCGCACCGTGTGTCTGAGGGTGGAGCCCGACCCCTGCAGAGGAAGGGAGCAGCCACGGAGGAGGCCCCCTGCAGGAGGGGCGTGAGCAGAAGAGAGATTCACCAGCGGGCTGGGCCGGTGCAGACCGGAGGGAGAGGGTTAATGTGAGGGGAGGGAGGTTGTCGGCCATATCGGGGCAGGGACATCGAGGGGCTGAGATGCCATCGCACAGCTGGGGAAACTGAGGCGCAGAGAGCCCCATGTGTCCCGAGGTTCGCAGTCTGGGAGAGGGCCTGAGTCCAGCCTATGTGGCCCCAGACCACTTGGCTGAGCTGTCCCTTTCTGCGGGCGGTTGCAGGTGTGAAGGGCATAGGGAGGCCAGGGGTTAGGATTGGGGAGCAGGGGCCATACCCAAGGCCACACAGCCAGCGAGGGAGAGAGCCAGGTTCGGCCAGGCTGCCCAGTGCCCACGCAGGCGAGCAGGGAAGGCCGCCTCTCGCTGGGCCTAGCTGAAGCCTGGGGCCTGGGGCCCATGGAGGAGGCTCCCGCAGCCTTTGAGGGCCCCGTTCCCAGGCCCAGAGCCGGGATGGAGGGCCCCAGCGCTCTCTGGGGCCCGCAGAGCCAGGGGAGTTAATAATTACGGGTCTGAGGAGATAGAGGCCTGTCCGGAGGCTCCACCCTCCCAGGCAGCTGCTTCGCAGAGATAGCAAAGGTTAGCGTGAGCCCGGCCGGCCGGGGAGAGGGCTCGGCACCTGCCCGCCTGCCCGCCTCTCCAGGGGGACCCTCAGTCCGCCCTCCAGGCATGAACCCCCCCGAGGAGCGCCCCAGCTGTCCTGCCCGCGGGAAGTGCCCCGTATACCTGGCGGTGAGCTCAGGGACTGTTCGCTATGCCCCGTCAGGTCTGGGCCCTGCCCTGGAGGGGAGCCTGGGAGAGGAGCCCCCGGACACAGACAGGTAAGCGGGACCCAGGGCGAGGAGGGGAGGGGGCCCTTGCCGCTCCCCAGGGGGCGAGGGGAGGGTGAGATCCGGGTTGCGCACAGGGACTGGCCTGGCGCTGGGAGGAATGGCGTGAGCCTTTTACGGGGTCAGCGAGGGGGCGGCCCTCCTTGTCCAGCTTGGTGGTTCTGCAGCCCCGGAGTCTGAGCTCAGACAGGAGCTGTCAGTCCCTGGGCCGCGCCGTGGGCCGAGGACAGAGTCAGGAGACAGGTCGTCCAGGCGGGCAGCTCTGGGCCGGAGCTGGGATGGGGGGCCAGGTCGGCCAGGACGTGGCCAGGGAGGGAGATTGGGGCAAAGGACACGCCTTTTTCTGTTTCTCCCCGCACCTGGTCGGCTCCCCTGGGGAGCTTCCAGTGGTTTCGGGGCTGCCTTTTCAGGACGCTGGTACAAGGGGTCTCAGCCCCGTCGCCTCTGGCTGTGTGGCCTCAGGCAGGTGCCTTACCCTCTCTGAGCCCATCCTTTCCAGGCGGGCAGGAAGGCGAACTGGGTGGTGGGAGAAGCTGGTGAGCCTGCGGGTCCCGGATAACTGGATCCATAGGTGGTGGGATGGTTCTGGTTAGTAATCGGGGTGTCACTGCTCCCAGAATGGTGACCCCACACTCATCTGCTGAGGGGTTGCTCAAGCATCTCAGCCCACCAGCCCTCCTCTGAGGAGGCCCTGCGCTGCACCCCTCCTCCCGGCCCTCCCGTGTCTGGGGTCTCCTGTCGGGGCTGTGAGGATGGAGGGGAAGGGTCCTGCTGAGCTCCTGTGTGTCGCCTCCCTCTTCCCCTAAATAGTAAACAGGGCCAGGCAGACAGCAGGTTTGGTGACAAATCAACAAACATGATGACATCTGCTTTCAGCCAGACCCTGGGGGCTGGGCTGGGCTGGGGTGGGGTGGGGTGGGGTGGGGTGGGGTGGGGTGGGTGGAACCCAGGAAGGAGCTGGTCCCTGTCCTTGGGGAACCAGGCTCTTGGAAACCATTGCCCTGCGGACTGAAGGGCTGGGGGGCCCGGGCGGAATGATTCTGGAAGGACTCACCCAGAGGAGGCCCGGGAGTCCCTGTCCGGGAGCTGGCCCAGGAAACGAGGGAGCAAGGCCGGAAGCCTGGCTGCTCCACTCACGGAGCCCTGAGCCGTGTGAGGTGAGCCCCGAGGGAAGGAGCTGCTTTCTGTTCTGGACAAACAGGAAGGTGGCGGCAGCAGAAGCGCCCTGGGCAAGCCTCGGCCCTCGACGTGGAGGCGGGAGAGTGTGGCCCGTCCTCCCATCCCCCCACCGTCCCAGGGCCGCTCCCTTTGGGTCCCCAGCTCTTGTAAGGTCCCCAGTTTGTACTCTGCATGAATGAGTGAATGACTGGAGGGAATACAGAGGTGCCCCAGCCAAGCCTGAGCCCTGTGGGAAGCACCTCCTTCCAGGCCTCCCGGGAATGGGGGGCGGGAGCCACGGTCCCCAGGAGAGGAGGGCTGTGCTGCCCCTGGATCCAGGTCACAGCTCAGGATGGGCAGCGAGGGTCAGGGAGTTTGAGGTGCACGAGGGCCCAGGGTCTGGGGTTCAGGGAGTTGTGCAGAGGCTGTGGGAGAAGACAGGTAGGTGTGTTGGGGGTGGGGGGCGGTGCATTGCTCCAGAGAGAGAGGACTGTGGGCCAGGGTGAGGGTTGGTGACTTGGGACAAGGGTGGCTCCTGCCTGGAACCCACGCTTTGGGGTCTGCCCCCTGCCCACAGGCAGGACGGTGCTGTCTCAGGGGGTGCTGTGGGGGGGAACTGTCCCAAGGGGTGCTGTCACCGAGGGTGGGGGTGTTGTCCCAGGGAGTGCTATCGAGGGGGGGTGCTGTTCCGGGGGGTATTGTCCCAGGGGGTACTGTGGGGGGAGGGGGTGTTGTCCCAGGGGGTGCTGTCCCAGAGGGTGCTGCCCCTGGGAGTGCTGTCACAGGTGGGGGTGCTGTCACAGGTGGGGGGTGCTGTCCCGGGGGGTGCTGTCACGGGAGGGGGGTGCTGCCCGGAGAGGGTGCTGTCCCGGGGGCTGTTGTGGGGGGGGGAGTGCTGTCCCGGGGGGTGGGGTGCTGTCACCGAGGCGGGGATGCTGTCCCGGGGGTGCTGTCACGGGAGGGGGGTGCTGTCCGGGGGCAGCTGGGGCGGGGAGCTCGGCCGTGGGGTGGAGGCTGTGCTGACCCAGAGTGCGATCCCACCGGAGTCAGGAAGCGGAAAGCCGGGACCACGGTGGGTCCGGAGCGGAGCGGTGGACCAGAGTGGAGCCCGGGAGCCTGGAGCCCCGGAGCCGCGGGCGATGGATGCGGCTCCTCCCCGCGCCGGCGGCCAGTCCCGGCGGCGGCGGCGGCGGCGGAGGCGGGGCCGGGCACGTGTCCCCGGGCCGCCCTGCGCCACGTGACCCGCGGGCAGGGTTCGGGCTGACGGGCCGGGGCGCGAGCGGCCGGAGCGCGGCCGGGCTGCGGGCGGGCGGACAGGCGGCGGCGGCGGCGGCGGCGGGACGGACGCCCGCGCCCGGAGCTCCGGGATGTGGAGCGGGTAGGTCCCGGCGGCGCTGCGCGGGGCGGCGCGGCTGCCTCCAGGCTGGGAAGATCGGGGATCCCTGCCGGGTCTGCGCCCCCGGCTGGGGGGGGCTCCGTCCCGCACCAGGGCCGAGGGGCCTCCGCGGGGCGGGCGGCTGGGGGGCGGCGCCGTGACAGCGCCAACTCCGGGCTCATCCGCAGAGCGGGGCGGGGGTGGGGGGTGGGGGGTGTGGGGGCGGGTGGGGTGAAGGCAGAGAATCGGGTGCGCCCCAGGCTGGGGACACCCTTGGGAAGCAGCGCGGTCGGGAAGGGGCTGGTCTCTGCCGAAGTCGCTTGCAAGTTGCGGAGCCTCCGGCCGGGCCCTGGGCGGCTGGGCTCGGGGTGCGGCGGGCGCCCCTCGCACCCTGGTCTGCCGCTGGCTCAGGGGCGCCCGGGAAGGTGAGGGCCATGGGGCCGGCAGACACTTCCTCTTCCCGGGAAGACCAGGTCCTGGTCGGGATGTGGCCCCAGTGAGGGTGGCTGTGTTCCTGTAAGAACAGGGCCAGATGGACCGGCCCGGGACAGGGCTCCCACTCACCGGGAGTGAGGGTGCCCGGGAGGCGGGGGCGGAGAGTTCCCCGCAGGCCAGAGCCCCGGTGCTCCTACCCGGACTGGTACTTCAGGGGGGAGGGGGAGAGCTGAGAGTGGGCTCCTGGGAGGGGAGCGGGAGGTGTAGAGAGGCTGGAGACTCTTTAAAAAAAAAAAAAAAAAAAAATATATATATATATATATATATATATGTATATATATATATATATATTTGGCTCAGTGGCTAGAGCGTCAGCCTGCAGACTGAAAGGTCTCAGGTTCAATTCCGGTCAAGGGCATGCACCTTCTTGGGGGTGTGTTTCATCAATGTTACTAGCTCTCTGTCCTTCTCCCTTCCTCTCTGTGGAAAATCAATAAAATATATTTACATAAATATATATTTAAATATATATTATATATAATATATATTTAATATATATATGATTTCAGGGAGGAAGGGGGAGAGAGAGAGAAACATCACTGATGAGGGAGAATCACTGGTTCTCTGCCTCCTGCGTGCCCCTACTGGGGATTGAGCCCCCAAACCCAGGCATGTGCCCTTGGCCGGAACAGAGCCGTGACCTCCTGGTTCTTAAGTCTACGCTCCACCCTGAGCCCCGGAGTGAGAGGCTGGAGGCTGCTAGAGGGAGGCGGGTTCTTTGAGCTGCACCCAGGAGGGAAGGCTTTTAGGGACGATGAGGAGGGGGTTGGAGGTACCTGGGGAGGGGAGGGCAGCCAGGATACCTCCAACCCCTGAGGTACCCTGAGGGGTTGGAGGTACCCTGTGCCTGAGGGCAGCCAGGCCCGGAGGAGGCTGGGGTGTGCCCACAGCAAACCTCAGCACGTAGTTGCTGTCTGTCTGACCTTGAGCGTATGAGCTCCCCGCTCTGGGCTCTGGGTGACGGAGCAGGTGGGGTGGGGAGTGGTCCAGGCCCTGGAGGCATCCAAGCCGGGGCTGGACCGACTGGCCAGGCCCAGACTGACTGGCCGAGCCCACTGAGAGCCGCCCCTCTTTAAGGACTGAGTGGAAGAATAGACTCAAGGTGCTGGAGAAGCTCGGGGTAAACCCGCTGCCACGCCCACCCCACGTGGCCCCACGTGATTTCCCTCCTGTATGAACAGGGACTCCCCGGGGTCTAGCCGAGGGGCCGAGCACGAAGTAGGTGCTTCCTAAATGCGGACGGAGAGCATGAGGGGGCAGGATGGGGAGCCGGGTGCCCGCGGAATGAGAGGCAGGGTTTTGGGGTAACCTTGACCCCTGCCTTTTTATGGACCCTTCACTTGGATATGGGAGGCAGGGATGGACAGATCAGGGCCCAGCTGCCAGCGCCCACTGCCAGGACCCTAGGAGCTCACCCAGACCCAGCAGCAGCTGGGGGTCACTCTTGCCCTCCTAACGCTGGCGAGCTGTACTCATGGGAACTCTGAGCATCGCCCTTGGGGTGCCGGCTGCTCGTGGCCAGGACAGGTGCTGGGCCAGGACTCTGCCGGGGCTCAGGTGCACCCTCTCCTTTGGGACTCTGAGCGTCAGAGGCAGCCCCCTCCCCCAGCTGGCCGCACCCCTCTAACCCCCAAAAGGCCCCAAGTCTATAGTTGTGGGCACCACACCTGTTCCGAGGGGCTGGGGCCCGGACAGCATCTTGGGTGCTTCTGCCGCTAACACTGAGCAAGGCGCTGGGGACTTGGTCCGCTGAGGCCAGAGTCTGGAATCCGGGCCAGGTTTTGCCACCGAACGGCCACAGGATGTTGGTGTAGGCCAGTGGTTGGCACACTGCAGCTCTCGAGCCATACGAGGCTCTTTGTCCCCTTAAGTGTGGCTCTTCCACAGAATACCATGGCCTGGGCGAGTCTATGTGGAAGAAGCGGCATTAGAAGAAGTTTAAGTTTAAAAATGTGACTCTCAA